CCAGAGCTGTTGTCCGTGAATTAAATGTTAATTTCTCTACCATAAGCCGTCTCCAAAGGCGTTTCAGAGAATTTGGTAGTACATACAACCGGCCTCACAACCGCAGACCACGTGTAACCACACCAGCCCAGGACCTCCACATCCAGCATCTTTACCTCAAAGGTCATCTGAGACCAGCAACCCAGACAGCTGCTGCAAAAATCGGTTTGCATAACCAAAGAATTTCTGCACAAACTGCCAAAAACAATCTCAGGGCAGCTCATCTGCATGCTCGTCGTCCTCATCAGGGTCTCGACCTAACAGCAGTTTGTCGTCGTAGCCGTCTTGAGTGGGATCCTCCCAATACAGTAAAACTGCACCTTTTATTGTGACCAGCCTAAGGCACACCTATGCAATAATCATGCTGTCTAATCAGCTTCTTGATATGATACACCTGTGAGGAGAATGGATTATCTCGGCAAAGGAGACATGCTTACTTACACAGATTTAGACAGATTTGTGAACAATATTTGTGCATGTGTGCCTCTGTCTCTGCACTTGTCGGAAGAGACAGAGCATTGCAAGCCGTATCAATGCTCCAAATTCTCGAAAAGTATTGGAGCGTGAGGAACAGTTACCTGTGGTGTCTGCCCCTGCTGTTGGTGCAGACCTCAGGCACCCACATGCTTAACACAGGTTTTCCGGGCTGGCTGGAGAGAACCTTTTATATCCCCAATTGGCACATTTGAGGCTAGCAGCCTTGCATGCTATGTAAATGCACCCCGCATGCCATAGGTGGCCATCCCCTGATATATAACAATTAAGAATTTTTCAAGAGAAAATAATGCCATTGGCTTTTAACCTCATGATTTAATATGATGCCTTCAAAACCCCTTGATGGCATTATTTTCCTATAATTCACAGTTTATAATTATGTATCCTCTTTCTTTCTTCCCTAAAGTAAATACAGGGCCCTATTTAGCCTTGTACTGCAGAGAGCCCCAGATGGAATTTTTTCCTCAAGTAAGTGGATTAATCTCATAAGAGCAGACAGTAGGCTGTTAGAGTAGGACCTGCCAAAGATGGGGTACATTGATGTTGTGGCAGGCTTATTTGATGTATAATCATATAATGTAACTAAACCCCCATTATTTTTGCCTAGATTAGGTGTTTTTTAAAAAAAACTAATAAAATCTGTCAACATTGAAGTTGCTGTTTAGTGGATAGGTGAGTCTGCTGGATCTTGTGTATTTTATAAATTGGCCCCCAGCAGCACCCCATTTATGCATGCTCAGGTGAGTGCAGACCTCTTGTTTCACACACATACATTTAAATTGTCTTGGTTTTGGACAAATTAATCCATGTAAATCTCATAATCATTGAGTTATACCTAACTTTTAAACTAACTTGCATGGAGGGGGGAGGAGGTGGGAGTGGATACATAATGGTGAGCTGTGAATAATAAGAAAATAATGCCATCAATGGGTTTTGGAGATATCGTAATAAAACACGAGGCCAAAATTTGCGTTGAGTTGAGTACCATGCAAGTGAGATGCTGCAGGTAATAACATCTGGCAAATCTTACACAAAAACAGATTCTGGGATAAAACAATTACTATCCAATATTACATCATTAATCAAATTGATTGAATTAGACCCTTCACATTCATTACTTAGAATCTGCTTCTGTACTCAGGAGAAAGTTAGCAGTCTGCCCTGCCTGGAATACACCGCTGTGGCTGAGATAACAGTATACTTCAGAGTCCTCCTCACCCCTCTTCCCCCTCCACCCACCCCCTTTATGTCACTCCCACCACCCTCCTCTCTCTATTTTGGCTTCTTGCAGCATCAATCATAGCCAGAAAAAAAAATAACAACCCCTTGCCTAATATTTCAACTCCAAGGCTGCCTCTTAGTGGATGGGAGCAATCTGTCATGCTAGCCAGGGGTACCTCCTCCAGGCAGATCAGGTTCCCTCTGACTGACAGGGTTACCATGGCGAATAATTTGACTAAAACTGTTGTCTTATCCTCGCAGTCCTGGGGTCAGATAACCGACCAATCACAGCGAGCACAATCATTTTTCATGCCAGTTTAGAATAATATTATTAAAAAAAATATAGAGAGAGAAAGTCAGCCAGGCAGAGGGTGAGCAGACTGAGCTGCTGGACTATCTGGGAGCGTGTACAGGGATCAACTTCACTCAGAATTCTCAAATCCACAGAATTCTAAAGCGAACTGCAACATTGTAACAGAAAGGGTGGCTTGGAATCACTCACAGCTCGCTTGTTGTCGCCTACAGTTTGCAATTCGCTCGAATTCGGAGTTTAGTGAATAAGCCCCAAGGACTTACAAAGTTTTCCCTTTGCAGCCTGGAGGAGTTAAAGCGGCCCTTGTGGCTCTGTGGCCGGTGGATTGCCGTGAAAAGCCCAGAATCTGGACAGGAAGCTGTTAATCTTTGGAGCTGGATGGTTCTAGCAGAGGGTTGGGGTGTCAGAGGGGACCATGTCGATGCTCCCCACTTTTGGCTTCACCCAGGAGCAAGTGGCCTGTGTGTGTGAGGTTCTGCAGCAAGGGGGTAACATAGAGCGGCTGGGGCGCTTCCTGTGGTCCCTGCCAGCCTGTGAGCACCTCCACAAGAATGAGAGTGTCCTGAAGGCCAAGGCGGTGGTGGCTTTCCACAGGGGCAATTTTCGGGAGCTCTACAAGATCCTGGAGAGCCACCAGTTCTCCCCCCATAACCACCCCAAGCTGCAGCAGCTGTGGCTCAAGGCGCACTATATCGAGGCGGAGAAGCTGCGGGGGCGCCCCCTAGGGGCGGTGGGGAAGTACAGGGTGCGGAGGAAGTTCCCGCTGCCCCGCTCTATCTGGGACGGCGAGGAGACCAGCTACTGCTTTAAGGAGAAGAGCCGGAGTGTGCTGAGGGAGTGGTACGCCCACAACCCCTATCCATCGCCTCGGGAGAAGCGGGAGCTGGCCGAGGCCACGGGGCTCACCACCACCCAGGTCAGCAACTGGTTCAAAAACCGGCGGCAGAGGGACCGGGCGGCCGAGGCCAAGGAAAGGTACGAGTAAGTACCCCTCCACTATCACTATACCATAACATACTGAGATATATAGAAACTGCAACTCTCATCAGGCTCAGCCAGTCAGAGGGAGATGTGATACTCCATATACAGAGATATATAGGGACTGCAGCTCTCAGCAGGCTCAGCATGTCACCGGGACATGTCATACTGCATAAACTAAGATATCATGTGAATACAACTCTCAGCAGGCTCAGCCAGCCACAGGGACATGTCATACTACATAAACAAAGATATCATGTGACTGCAACACTCAGACAGTCACCGGGACATGTCATACTGCAAAAAACTAAGATATGATATGACTACTACTCTCAGCAGGCTCAGCCAGCCACAGGGAGATGTAATACTCAATATACAGAGATATATAGGGACTGCACTCTCAGGAAGTTCAGCCAGCCACCGGGAGATGTGATACTCCATCTAGTGAGATATCTAGGGACGGCAACTCTCAGGAGGCTCGGCCAGCCACAGAGAGGTGTAACTTAGTCTTACTTCATTCACTCAGATATCTGGCTCAGAGAACTACTGATAGGTGTTCTTCACTTTTACTCCATACACTGATAGGACACATCTGGAGACTGCCACCGCCATCATGCTCTGCCAGCCTCACGAAAGTTTACTGCGGACTGACCATATTAAGCAGATAGTAGCTCATAGTTCCTATTAAATACAAAAGGGAGCAATAAACACCGAATGAAGTGAAATCTGAATTCAGGCTAAATTATCAAGCTGTGACAAGAGCTGACTTAGTAATGGGGAATAATTTCACATCAGATGTGTTTGGCTGGATTGTTCAGTTTGGTTTTCAAATCACTGCACTTCGGTCAGTAGACAGACAGACAGACAGACATAATGTATGAGTGTGTATGTATGTTTCAAAAGTTCGCATTATATTATAGAGAGTGTAGAATCCTAAACTAATGTTCAATGATATAGCTTGTGTATAAACTGCATTATACTTTACATTTATACAAAGCAAGTAAGTGGCAATAAATGATAGCTTTCTATTCACACATTTTTATTTATAAACAATAAATATATAAAGGAACAGCATTGTTAGAATTGTTTGAAAATAGAGATGGTAAGCCGCCATGTTATATTTTATAATGAGTAGATGAAATCTGGCTTTGGGTCTGTATTTTAAATTAAAAGAGTCATCCTAAACTTAGAGATCTTCCCCTCGTGTAGGCAAAATACAACTTTTAAATTAAACTTAAACTGAGGATATTTGTATCATAATGTTTACAGATAGACTAAATGGAAAACATGGGGCTGGATAATGTGACTGGAGAGTTTGTGGAATTCTCAATAATATGTTTACACCTTAGTACATAATGCTCTCTATATAGATCAATATCCACTGTAAGAAACATACTCTGTCTGTGGGTCAAGATCATCATTCTAACTGACAGGTTCCAAGACCTCAGCCATGCATATTGTCAGGGTTTCTTCCTCAACTCACATCCATATGTCAACATGGTTGGTCCTCCATTCTTTATCTATTGCCTGCTGGGTAAATAGGCCCCCTCATTACATCTGCAGGGATCATCACAATCTCATAGCACCTGACTGCAGGTCACAAGGCAAGCCTATTATCAAATCAAATAACTCAGCCCAGGCAATAGTGACTACTGCTGTCACAGAGTTGAAAAGGCTGTATTTACTAGAAATGACTGCAATCTATACACATTCTAGAGTCCCACATCTGAAATAAGTGGCAGTATTGGATGCCTGGCTTATCAATGCTTGATACATTTACATCATTTTCAGAATCTCACACAGAGGTGAAACTGTAACACTGTATACAGACAGCATTCTGTTTCTATCTTCACTTGTAACGTTCTGTAAATCGTCGAATGTTAGAAAATACATATTGACATTATTTTAAATTGCAAGACATAGAATCATAACAGCCACGATTAATGTTCTAATTATGAAATAAACTATAAAAATAGAATATTAGGTGCCACGACCATTAGAAACAGAAATATAACTATTGCAAACAGAATATTGCCAGCCACATGTATTAAGATTAAATGAAAACACAGAATTTGAAAAGATAAAATGAAAACACTATATGCTTTCACAAGACACACACTGACTTTAAAATGAAATATTAATATTAAACATTGCTAGCCAGAAATAATGATATGTTTGTTAAACTTTTTTTTTTTTTAATTGCTTGGATTCACTTTGAAAAGTTTCAATCAGTAAGTACTTTCTATGCAATCAAATTACATCTGTCCAACCACAGTTATCACAATCTGTGGATTACATTTCACATTTTGTATAAAAAAAAATAAAAAAATATTTTCATATATACTTTTGACTTATAAAATATTGTATTTTTAAACAGGGCAAAAAGCTTAAAGTTAACCATTATAAATAGTCAATTAAAATACAGATATGTTTAGTTTTAAAACCGATATGTTTTCATTAATCATTTCACATCTCCTTTATAGATGCTATTAATTGGAATTATTGTTAATTAAACTAATATTTATTATTCCAACGTAACTGCCTAATAAATTTTGCTAAGATTCTGATAAGGATTTAAATACTTTGGTAATTAATAATGACAGTTCATAGAATTGAACACAATTCAATAAGCTATGAACCAGAAATTAATAAACAAATAATGTACAAAGATTAATAATACATATTTTTTTTTGTATTTTTTTTTTTTTTTAAATATGCGGATAAAAGTGGCGTCTATATGAAGTCAGTCTGGCCCACTGACACGAGTTTTGATATGGTAAATATAAATTGTAACTTTTAATCTCCACTGTAATGAAAATATAGCATAGCTCTTATAATCTATATATTACATGTGACCGGATAGACTCCTAATGATGGGTAGTTATATTATATGATCACAATAATACACAAAGCTACCTCTGTGTATCCTAATTACCCATTCAGCCTGAATTCAGAACCCATTGTTACAGAACTTTTAATTCAATATATAAATGAAATGGGTATTAGCTACTAATTCCAATTTACCCTACACTGATTTAATTAGCTCCATCTATTACATACATGTATAGAATTATTCTTATGAAAATGTAGTGAAATGCGTGTCTGTATACAGTTGTGCGTGTGTGTGTATGCATATTTATTATTTTGTGTGTATCTGTGAGTGTGTTTATAAATGTAAATTAATCTCTATTATTGAACAGTAGCCTGCAGCAATAATTATAATTGTTAGTAAAGTCAATTACGTTGATGGCAATCTTTCCTGTAAATGGCATATTGAAAAATCATTGTAAACAACCCATTATAACACTGACCCTAATAAAGGCTGATTCAATGCGTTACATAACTCCATGATGGTTATATCGACTCTAAGCTTGGATTTATATAAACTCACTGGGATTCACATATTTAACCAATAACGGGCCTATAGCTAGTATCATATATAACCCACAATGGACCTATAATCAATTACTCATATTTATTACCAATGGATTAATAATCAAGAGCTCATATTTATAACCAATGGATTAATAATCAATTACTTATATTTATATAACACAATGGATTTAAAATAAACAAATTATTAAAGAAAAATGAGAAAACGAAAGAAACAAAATTGCTCAATGGAATTGTTAATTTGAAGGGTCATTTTAATAATAAATTAAATTGACTTGAAAATGTGTGCAGTCTAATGAAAACTTTAAAAAAATAGAAATTAATTTATAAAAAACAAACAAAAAAATATAATTCAAAATAATTGATCCGATTAATTCCCAAATCCTTTCCTGTTATCTGACACGTTACTGTGAAAGCCTAGCTATGTGAATTATCCCATATGGATTGGCAGAACTTGGCATATAAACTAGGATATAAAACAGGCTATTTAATAAAGAAAAATGGTGGGACATTGGCAAAAAAAATAAAAAATAAAAATAAAAACCAACAAAACTAAGATTACAGGCGAAGACAATTAAACTAGAAAATTAATTGAGTTGGGGATCTTTTTAACTGACCATTTTATATCCCCTTGTTATGTCTCCACAATGTTTAGTTTTCGAAAGGATCCCCAAAGCAGATTAAATTGAGGGATATTTGATAAAAAGAATCACATGGTGAAAAACCTTCGCTTTTAGTTAAGTCAACAATCGAGTATAACATTGTATATCTTTCTACAAAGACAACATATATAACAACATATATCACTGATTAATATTCTAATGAATGTCTTTCCATAAAAGGGCCATGTAGAATGCCCTTATCAATATATATCATTCTCCAAAGACAAGGGGCATACTTATTATTATTATTATTATTATTATTATTTAACTTCTATAAATAAAACGCATTATATTCTGATGGTATTATTGAATAATTCATTATAGAATCTCAAAGTTTAGAATATTATAGATCAGCTAGAAAAGCAGATTGGGCCTAAAATTTGCAATTTCTTAAATTTTTCATAATTCACTATTTAGTGAATAACTACCCATTTTGTAGTTTGATGGGAAAAGTAACTGAAATATTCCTCTCAGATGATCCAGCATTTCTGTCTTAATATCAGATAATTATTAATACTTAAATAATTATTACTCATCTCTGCAAATACCAAGGGCATATCTACTAAATGGTGACTTTTGGCAAATTGAGCAAAGAAACTGTCTCGAAATAGAAATAAAAACATATGTAGCTTTCCTAAATTTGAGCTAATTCTCGACTCTCCAATGCCAAAATATATTTTGTGTAAAGCCCATCCCTATCACTGTTTACTGCATGACTTGTAAAAACCATCGGGGTGTATTCATTAACGATGAATTGTATCGAATTGTAAACCGAACTACAACATATTGACCGAAATAATAAAATTCCCTAGCTCGGTTAGTGTCACTAGCTGGTGTTTGGTTTTATTGTCCTGTTATGTTCAATAAATCAGGTAAACAACCCATTCTGAAGCTATAGGGGGGGAGGGGGGTAACACCTAGGTCTTCTGAGTGTTATTGCCAGCCTTGGAGATATCTGCATTAAGTTATGGGTGATATATTTCTCTGTGATAGTAGAATCAATCTATCCCCAGATTTCAGTCACTCCAAACGGTGGTTGTGAGTGATGGGAATTACGATTAACTATAGCTGTTGATGTCCTGATTGCAAGAACATATCCGTGGCAAAAGATAGCCCCCAACTATTCTAGTGCTACCACTCCCATCATGCGTTACCAGCTCTAAGGCATCCCCTCTTGGGAGTTGTAATCAGAGTAGACCTTGGAGGTTTAGTATGATTACAAAATGTGTGGTTTGTTACAATGAATGCAACTCTCAGCAAGCAGACCTAGGATGGATGTGAGTGACAGGGGTTGCACTTTCTAATTTGTAGAGTCTCCTTGCAGCCCCATGTTCTGAAGGCTGTCTGTCCATTCTTTTAAATGGAGAGGAGATAATGGAAACCCACCATTTTGGGGCAAAGTTCTAAACGTGGAGCAATCAGGGGCAACGTTCTATTGGTTTCCATGGTGATTGTTCCACATTTAGAACGTTGTCTCAGTGTCCCAAAGCCTTACACGCCAACTGCTCTGCGACTGTAAGGCTAAGCATAGTGGGGGTTTAGTTCCCAGCAATGCCCGATATCACCGATATGTCTGTATGTTATAAGGCTGTCTAGGGGCTGATGGGCTGCTAGTTATGTAATTTTACTGACAAAGAATGACCTTAGATGATGAGAGTTGTAATCCAAAACAAAAGTTGCTTATTGTAAAAAGCCTGTAAATCATAGTCATTAATAAACGTTTTGTTTGAATTATTGTTTATTTTATAATTTATTTCTCTTTAAGGGAGAATAACGAAAACTCAAACTCGAACAGTCACAACGCGTTATCGTCATCCATGAATGGCAGTAAAACGGTTTTGGGAAGTTCAGATGATGACAAAACTCCATCCGGGACCCCAGATCACACCTCGTCCAGCCCGGGCTTACTGCTCAGCTCCTCCAACCCTGGGCTCCAGGCTCTCCATGGGATGGGCCACCCTCAGGGACCCAGTGCCATCCCAGTGCCAGGGGCTGACGTCATGCACCACCACACTTTGCAAGACTCAATTCTCAACCCAATGTCCTCCAACCTGGTAGACCTGGGCTCCTAAAACTCAGAACAATATTTAAGACACCTAAGAGAAATCCCCCCACCTGTGGACCCTTACTCCACTCAAGGATGGATAATCTGATAGACTTGTTTGAAGGTACTGTAGACCACATTACCTGTGCCACTTGGGACTGGAAAGACTTAACCGAGATGTTTTTATTTTCACCATATAAACAATGAACCCAAAGTATTACACAAAGGGCCATGCAATGTATTAACCCTTGAAGTGACAGAGGGGTGAGTAACATGGTAGAATTCTCAATGGTATTCACATCAATCCAAATCATGACAACAACAGGTCATATCTTTATGCAAGAGTTCCTGCAGGTACCTGACTTTTGATGAATTATTTCAATCCAATAAAATAAGACTATAACTTTGAATGACTGTTCTTAGGTTATCAATACACTCGTAAAGGCACGTTGATAGTGTTACATCATATGGCTATAAATATATCTATCTATGTAAAAGCCAATAGTGCTAGGCCCTTGCTACCAGAAATATACAGACAGTTCCAGTAATTAATTAGTGATGGGTCGTGCTAATCCCCAGGACAATCTCTACAACAGAACTTTCCTTTAACCATTTCAGTGCCTCGGAGAGGGGGGTTGGTCACTCCTCAAGCACTGGAAAGTTAACCCCTTAATCACCACTCAGGGTGAAAGAAACAGATATTTTGCAATTGTTACATATTTGTTGATAAGGTCATCTGGCCATTTTTTTTGGTTTTTTTGTTTCATGTTTATATTATGTGAATAAACCCTTTGGAAAATATCCTTGCTTTTATTTTATAATAAAAAAAGAGAAATAATGAAAATAGAAAAAGTGCCTGTATTCTCATTTCAATTATTATTATTATTATTCTTTATTTATTTTAATTTTTTTTTTCAAATAGAAAAATTCGGCTTGAAGTCCCAAGTGAATTATTCTCCAACCTGACCAATATTCTCCTACCTTTGTAATATTGTAGACACATCTCAACTCACTGTTTAGTGGTTAGATTGCCGATTAAATCAGAGGGTGGTAAAACTCAGAGTAAGTTAACAGAACTGAAACAAATCTTTAAATCGTGTGAACTAGAGAGTTCTTTTCTAAATCGAATATGTTGCCCTAAATTTGCTAGTTAGCTCTTTGGGCACCACTGATGTTGGTGCCCAACTGAACTCATCTTAATTTACAATGATGTCGTTTTATGTAATTATATTGAAAACGATGAATAATAAAATATTTATAATTGGCACAAGGTAATTATAATAATAGTAGTAGTAATGTTTTAGAAATTTAAAAATAGATCTATTTATTTTTCTAATAGAGACTGAATAAGTTGTTCCTACATGTTCATATATTTTAAAAGGTAATGCATCGTCTAGATGTTAAAACATGGAACTTCACGTTTTTCGTAGTAATCTTTATAGACTTCTTTTAATGCGTTTAATAACGTTTTCTAAGTGGAATCAAGCCAATCATTAATTGACAAGCACTCCCTTCCATATGATTATGATGCCTCCCGAGTCATGTGTACTCCTGCCTCCCCCCCTCATTAATCATGTATCTTTCTCCCCACGAACTCCTGCATCTCCAACTCTTGGTCCATGTATACTTCTGCCTTCCTCCCCAATAACATCTAAATCATATATACTCCTGTTTTTCTCTCCACTGATTCCTGAGTCATATTTCTGTCTTTCTCCCCACTAACTCCCGAAATATGTATACTTCTGGAACTTGTATACTCCTGTCCTTCTCCCCACTGATTCCTGGACCATGTATACTCCTGTCCTTCTCCCCACTGATTCCTGGACCATGTATACTCCTGTCCTTCTCCCCATTGATTCCTGGACCATGTATACTCCTGCCCCCCCCCTCCTCCTTCAACAGCTGGACCATATATACTCCTGCTTTTCTCCCCATTGATTCCTGGACCATGTATACTCCTGCTCCCCCCCCCTTCCTCCTTCAACTGCTGGACCATATATACTCCTGCTTTTCTCTCCATTGATTCCTGGACCATGTATACTCCTGCCTGCTCCTCACCCCCTTCCTCTTCCTCAACTGCTGGACCATATATACTCCTGCCTTTCTCTCCTCTGATTCCTGGACCATGTATACTCTGTGAGCTCCTATTTTACCCTCTCCCTCGTTGATTAAAGGGTTAATCCATGTTGTTAATACCCCAATTAATTTAAAGCTTTATGTAAATGCAGAATGCTGTAACTGTATCAATGCATAAAAAATATACACAATCAGAGTGTGTGCTGTGTGCCTATGGTGTGCTGTGTTCTGTGTGCTGATGGTGTCCTGTGTGCTATGTGCTATGTGCTGTGTTCTGATGGTGTGCTGTGCGCTGTGTGCTGTGTTCTGATGGTGTACTATGTGCTGATGGTGTGCTGTGTGCTATGTGCTGATGGTGTGCTGTGTGCTATGTGCTGATGGTGTGCTGTGTTCTGATGGTGTGCTATGTGCTATGTGCTGATGGTGTGCTGTGTTCTGATGGTGTGCTGTGCGCTGTGTTCTGATGGTGTGCTGTGTTCTGATGGTGTACTATGTGCTGATGGTGTGCTGTGTGCTATGTGCTGATGGTGTGCTGTGTGTTTATGGTGTGCTGTGTGCTGATTGTGGGCTGTGTGCTGTTGGCGTGCTGTGAAGGAATGTGTGCATGTCACTAGACCCCGAACTCTCTTGTATATTTAGTTTAGCGTCACTAGTTATAGATCTGGAACAATTAACTTGTCAAACATCCAGGTGCAGGAACAGAACTCGGAGAAAGCTGCTAAACCATATTGTTGGCAAATAATAGCTGAATAACATCAATTCTAACGTGTGTTATTTTCTAGCATCCCAGCAATTAGCAGGCTTTGTGTGTACTAATGAAGCGTGCAGGGGAATAGGGCTGCGTTTAAAATATCATTAACCATAATTCATGTTACATGATCTGCTGGATACAGTATATATTACATCATTCCTCTCCTCTATAGGGGACACATATTAACACAGTGTAATGTAGGCATTATTAACCTCTGCCTCTCCAGCCTGGTGCTCAGAGTCTCTGTCCCAAATTAATAGTATTAAATAATAAGAAAAATAAGAATTCTTTTTTAAAGGGATTCTCCTATGGAATTCCCTTGTTTGTTAGTCTTTGGTTGTTGTTGTTGTCTTTGCAAAGTATAATACAGAATGTGCATATATCAAAGATAGAAAACTATATGATATCTACAGACATTTTACCAGTCACAATGTGGGATTTATTCACTAGACAGAGATATGGCTAAAATTGTCGAGTTGGGACTACATCTAAATTGAAAAATATCCAAGATCGCCAGTTTTTGCGTATACTGTATTTTGTAAAATATTTAGCGTTTATGTGCATACATTAACTAAGCCATGTACTCTAGCTGTGAATCCCTGATCTAAAAAATGACATTAGTAACTGTTTTAAATATACGCCTGGACTGATACTGTGTAGTCTGTATGCTGGATTTCATTTATTGCATGCCACAAATCATTTACATCTATCAGAGTCTTCACTGACAAAATATACACTTGTACTTATACTCAAATATAATACCAATGATATATATATATATATATATATATATATATGTGTGTGTGTGTGTGTATATGTAATACACACAAACACACACACATACACACACAAACACTAATTTATATAGATATCAATAGCCTTGCCATATTGACAATTAAGTTAACTATTTACAGATGGTCAGCTACCATCCAAAGAAATACATGATTTATTTCACTGCTTAAAAAATCATGTTTAAATACTTTTTTCATGACTTCAAAACACTGGCTTGTCAACGACCTTATAACTCAAATATATACATATAATAATAATATTCGTTTTTTTTTTCTCTAAAATGGCGAAAAAGTTAAAGCACACAAAAATACTCACAGCACACACAATGCACCCACTGTAACCCTTTTTTTTCAGGCAGACGGTTTGTTGAATAAATATGGTTATTATAATTAATTATTGCTATTAATAATTAATACAAAGGTGAGAGTTGCTTAAATGAAAAAAAGTCTCAGATCAAGTTCTAATTAAATTACTGCTAATCTTGGTTTTATATATACTTTGCTGAGCTCTAGTTAGCAATCTCAGATAATTACTGTTTTACCTTATCACACAATTATATACACATAAATATATAAGATACAAACTGTTTTCTGTCAGTATTTCATTTTGACATTTTTTTATGTTTTCCATTGAAGCACTATTAGAACGTTCTAATATTGTTACTGCACTATTATTGCCCAGGCTGTTACTACTTAATGTCTCTTTAACTATGACGAGTTATTTCTAGTTAATAATATCACATTTTGTATGAAGGTTCATGTAAAAATTCTTCTTTACTTACCAAAGCTAAACTTTCCCCTGTACTAGAATTCAGACACATGAGAGAATCAATGATTTTAAAAAATATAACCTGTCAAATGAATTGCACCATGTTCTGTGACTGTGTATAACAAACCTCTTCCAGGTCTGAGTTAAAAAGAAACATTGATTCAGAAAAGTATCCATTCATTGAATGATAAAAAAAAAAAAAAAAAAGTATTCATCCATCTATCCTTCCACCTCCCCTCTCATACTTTATCTATCTATTGCAAATCTGAATTTCAAAATTGATGCTAAAATTGTCAGACTGTGACTATAAGGAGATTTTTGCAGAACAGCTATTTTGGCCTTCAGTTACGTCAATCAGTTCTCAAAAATTGACAGTTTAGTGACTAATTCTAAATGGATTAACAGAGATCTAACAAAATTACCTATTATTATTATTATTATTATTATTATTATTATTGCCATTTGTATAGCGCCAACAGATTCCGTAGCGCATTACAATATTATTAGAGGCGGGATTTAACTATAAATATGACAATAACAAGAAAACTTACAGGAACGATAGATTGAAGAGGGCCCTGCTCAAACGAGCTTACAGTCTATAGACCTAAAACCATCTAACCCTACTATCTCAGGTAGAAAGCTAAGATGTAATCATATAAAATGCCATGTCGTGTATAATCAGCCTGTGCTAAAAATAACACCATTAATGTGGTACCTGTAATAGGCATGGGTGCTTAGCCAAAAAAATAAAACAATAAATACAACGGAGAAGGAAGTTGAAAAAGCACATATTAATAGAATACTATAAAAGACCTTCAATTATGAACACTACATGAAGACATCCGTGCACCCCCCAAAAAAACCAAAAAAAAACCAAACACCCATACATTCATGAGTCCCCAGTCATACAAACTTCTATAGAGTAGCAAAGTGTGAATTGAATCACATATTAGACTTGTGCACAACAACAAAAAAATCTGTTTGTCCAAATCGACTTAGACTTGGGGGGGAAAAAATTGATCAGGATTTGTCCATGTGGTGTTTTGGTTCAGCCGAATTTCATCCATGCAGTCGTTTTGGTAAAAAAAATATATTGTGCATATATGTAAATGAAGAAATACTGGTTGCGCTGGTAATTATGCATTGCTTGGTCCTTGCATGTTAAAACCCCCAAAAAGTTTTTAAATGCCCATGGCATACAGTGACAAGATACCTCGCAATTGTGGCTAACAGTCAGCATTGGTTTTGTGCATTGTCTGTTATGTATGTTTTGTGATTCGTCCATGTAGTGTTGCAGAGTTTAGATTTCGAACAAGTTGTCGATTGCCCTCAATTCGGACAAAGCTAGGTTCTTTTGGAACTGAATGTACAAGTCTACATTATATTATGATGTCATGTTCTACTTGACGCAGCTTGCTAGAGCATTAAACATGCAGAATTTATCTTTACAATGGAAATCACACAAAAA